GGGGGTGTGCAGGAGGCAGCTGATCGATGTTTCTCTCTCATCGATGTTTCTAGCTCTCTATCTCTCTCCCTTCCTCTCTGTAAAAAATCAATAAAATATATTAAAAAAATCAATAAAATACATTTTTTAAAAAATGTTTACTAACAGGGTTTCAATAAATAACAAACTTGATACTATGACCAGGGATTATATTAAGTGACATAACAGATTTGAAAACCTAACAGATCTTCTAAAACAAAAGACACAATAACCAAAATTAAAAATCCAAAAGATGGGTTAAACAGCAGATTAGATGTGGCTAAAAAGGACATTACTGAGATAGAAATCAGACATCAGTCACAGATTCAAGAGACTCCATACGTTTTCACACATAGATACATCATAGTGAAAATGCAAAAAGAGCAAAGATAAAATCTTAAAAGAATCAGGAAAACCAGATTATTTTCAAAAGAACAGCCATACAACATGGATGAATGTCAAAAAAACATTATGCTACGCGAAAGAAGGGCAGTCACAAAGGACCATGTATGGTAAGATTTAATTAATATAAAATGTCCAGAATAGGAAAATCTATAGAGACCAAAAGTAGATTTGTGCTGTGGGCTGGAGGGTGGCAGGTGGGGCGTGTCTGCAATTGGGTACCGGGTTTTTTTTTGTTGTTTTTTTTTAAAAAAGGTAATAAAAATGTTCTAAAATTGGATTGTGGTGATGGTTGCACAACTTTTAAATGTACTTAAAACCATTAAATTGTACACTTTAGAGAGGTGGATCTTATGGTATATAAATTACATTGCAGAAAAGAAAAAGAAAATAAATTACATTGCAATGAAACAAAAAAAAAACCTCACAGCAGTCAGACTGACAGGTGATGATGTCTCAATAGCAACCACGGAAGCTAGAAGACAGCGGAGTGCTATCTCCAAGGTGCTGGAATGCCAGCTGGAATTCTATACCCAGTGAAAACGTCTCTCAAGAATGAGGTCAAGCCCTAGCTGGCTGTTCAGTGGTTAGAGCGTTGGCCCGCAGACTGAAGGGCCAAGGGCACGTAACTCGGTTGCAGGTTCGATCCCCTCCCCGGTCGGGGCATGTGCAGGATGCAACCAGTCGAGGTGTCTCTCTCACATTGATGTTTCTCTCTCTCTGTCTCTGCCCGCCTTTCCAAACTCTCTAAAAATCAATGGAAAAATATATCCTCAGGTGAGAATTAACAACAATGACGACATGAGTTCTAAATAAATATTTTCAAACAAAACCCAAGAAACTTTGTCACCAGAAGACTCTCCTTAACAATGGTTCTTAAACTTGGCTTCTCATTAGGAACACCAGACCGCGACATTGGTAAAAACTCCTGATACCTGGGCCTACCCCCAGGGTTTCTGAAGCAATTGACCTGAGATGTGGTGGGGTTTTAGGATTTTTAAAAAAAATATATTTTATTGATTTTTACAGAGAGGAAGGGAGAGGGATAGAGAGTTAGAAACATCGATCAGCTGCCTCCTGCACACCTCCTACTGGGGATGTGCCTGCAACCAGGGTACATGCCCTTGACCGGAATCGAACCTGGGACTTTTCAGTCTTCAGGCCAACACTCTATCCACTGAGCCAAACCGGTTAGGGCGGGGTTTTAGGATTTTTTTAAAGCTCCTCCAGGTGATTCAAAAGTACAGTCTAGTTGAGAACCTCAGTTTTAAAGAATACATTTCAGGCAAAAGGAAAGTGATCACAGATGAAAGTGATTCAATCTATACAGAAGCCTAAGCAACCAGAATGACTGGGCACTATGACACTCACTGACCACCAGGGGGCAGATGCTCAGTGCAGGAGCTGCCCCCTGGTGGTCAGGGTGCTCCCACAGCCAACCTCCTGCAGCCCCTCCCCCTGGCCAGCCAACCTCCCAGGGCCCCTACCCCACCACCCTGCCAGCTGGCCCCGATGGCCTCAATGGCCCTGATCGCTGGCCTGGCGGAGGGACTCCACCTGCCCACGAATTCGTGCACCAGGCCTCTAGTTAATATATGGTCCTTAAGCACCAGGAACTCAGCAGTGAGCAAAGCAGTCAAAAGTCCCTGCCCTCTAGAAGAGGGAAACAGACAAAAAAAAACAAGATAAATAAAATATGCTGTTACATACTGATACATGCTTTAGGGGGGCGGGGGGCGGGGGGAAGAAGCCAGGAAAGAGGCTATGAAATGCTACATGTAGGTGTGTATATGAATTTCAGGTAGAGTGGACAGGGAAGACTTTCGGGTAAAGACCAAAATGAAGGGAGAGAGCAAGCCATGAAGATATTTGGGTTATGGGAAGCGCAAAGGCCCTGAGGTGGGTGTGTAGTCTGCCTTGTCCGGGAACCTAGGCCAGTGGGGCTGGGATGCAGTGAGCCAGGTGGGAGAAGTCAAAGGAGAGGACACACTTCACAGGCCTTTACTTTTAGTGAGATGGGAACTATTGGGACTGCTTTGAGGAGTGGCAGAGCTGGATTTACATGCTAATAGGACCCTCTGACAGCTGGGTGGAAGATGGACTAGGGGACAAGAGGAGAAGCAAGGAGCCCCATGGAGAGGCTGTTGAGAAATACCAGAGGAGAAATGGAGGAACAGCGGACCCGGCTGTGAGAAAGTGAGAGGTGACAGATCCTGGATCTCTTCCGGGGGTGGAGCCCACAGGTAACCTGATGATCTACGGCAGTGGCTCTCAACCTTGGCTGCACATTAGAATCACCTGGGAATCTTTTTAAAATTTTGATTTCTGGGTCTCATCCTCTGGAAATTTTTTCTTTGTTATGGGGTGGGGCCACAACATTAGTAACAAAGAAACAGAATTTCCAAAGGATGAGGCCCAGAAATCAGGATTTTAAAAAGATTCCCAGGTGATTCTAATGTGCAGCCAAGGTTGAGAACCACTGATCTACAGGATGAGGGTGGAAGGAAAATGAAGGGACAGGCTGTCTAGCAGATGCAAAGAGTGTCCAGCTGGTGGTGAGCAAATGCAAACTTCATGAGCGGCCCAACAAAAGGCGGAGGGTGGTCACGGAGAGGTGGCAGAGCCTGGCTGGCTAAGGGTGGGTTCCTGAGCCCGCCAGGCTCCCATTCAAATCCGACTGTGGCCTTGAGCAGGTCTTAAACCAGCGGTTCTCAACCTGTGGGTCGCGATCCCTCTGGCAGTCCATGGACCCTTTCACAGGGGTCGCCTAAGACCACCCTGCATATCAGATATTTACATGACGATTCATCACAGTAGCAACATGACAGTTATGAAGTAGCAACGAAAATAATTTTATGGTTGGGTCATAACATGAGGAACTGTATTTAAAGGGCCAGAGGTTGAGAACCGATGTAGCGGAGTCTCCGTTTCCTCTTCTGCAAACAAAGCGAAGGATCACGTCTGCCCACCACCGGGGATCGGCT